CTGGGTGTACCTAATAAACTGCCAACTGAGTGTGTGTGTGCATGCAAACATGTGAGAGACAGTTTATGGATGTGGAAGGAGAAGCTGAGAGGCCTGAAATTATAGCTCTAATAGCAGCTTCACATGGGCATCAGTGCAGACTTCAGGCTTTTAAGACCAAGAACTCCTGACTCTGACATCACAATCCTGGGTTCAGGGTTTGTTTCCTGGAGCTTGTTCAAATCTTACTTTCAGTAAATTGGGCTGTGGCGTCATTTAGTGCCAGTAGAGTCAAGATAACCAGCCAGAAAAAAAACAATCAGGGGTCTAAAACTCAAATTTCCTTTTGAAAGCAGCCTGGCTGAAGTTTTGCCACTTGTGTCTGAGTTGTGGAAATGCTTCATGGAGCCACAGTGGGACAGGGAGGCAGGATATCTCTGCTCTGTACAACAAGGTTGAGTCGGGGTCAGCCTGCCACCAGGAGTCTTAACCACATCTAATTTGTCTCCTCATTGTCCTCTTCATCCTCCCTGCTTCCACCCATTCATCCCTCCTGCTCTGTGGTACTTCCTCCATATCATAACTTCACCTTCCTCCTCCTCCTCCTCCTCCTCCTCCTCCTCTTCCTTCTCCGGCAGGTGGGATCAGAGATGGCGATATCTGGGAAGGCGGTGGGTCTGTACTTTGAGGAGAAGCTGCTGGAGATGTTTCCCGGGCAGAGCTTCCCAGAAACGCCTGAAACCGAAGCCACGGAGGAAAAGGAGAAGGCGGAGGACGACACGGACGACTCGGAGGAGGACTTCATACAGCCCCGACGCAAACGGTTAAAAACAGATGAGAAATTGGTCCACATCAAGTGAGACCTGACCACACGAGAAACGAGAGGTTAAAAAAACTGTCTTCCTCGCGTCCCCCCACTTCTCCTTTGTTTGAGGCAGCAAACAAAAAAAAAAAGGACAAGATTCGCTGTACAATCTGCTTGGTTTATCTGATCCTTGCCTTTGAATGAGTCACTGTCAACTCCATAAGAAGTCTGCCTTGATCTGAACTCTTTACAGACAGAAACATGGAAGAGCTGCATTCCCTCCTTATTTCATGGACACTCAGCTCGCCTGTACAGACTTTGAAGTAGGACTTGTTTTGCAGTAGTTAAGTTAAAGGTTGGTCCTTTCTTTTCTATCCATTTTCATTTGTAGATTTGTTGTGATAATTGCTTTATAAAACATTTAAATCCCGTGTTCTGTTTAATGTATTATATCTATACTTTGACATGATGAAACCTACCAAGTATTTGTATGACTTTGTGGAAGCGTTATGTAAATAAGAGAATCTAGCCCACTGAAGGTATTCCTACAGTATAGATGTTTGGGTGCGTCATCAATAAAACATGTTCTTGAAATATATCAAAGAAATCGTGTGTGGTGTGGAGTAGGTTTTCACAGGGAGCTTTTAAAGGAGCAGTTCACCCTCAAAGAAACATGGTCTCACACATCCTCGGTGACATCAACTCAACTCAGCTAATTAACTGTTGACAAGTCACAGCTGTTAATTTGTAAAGCGCTCCCGATGACTTCCTCATGAAGCTGGTTAAGATAAAACCAATATTGTGCAAAGCTGTCATCAAGTTAAATGGCAGCTACTTTGAAGAATCTAAAATATGAAACATGTTTGTGTTTTTTTACTTTTTTTGTTTACTTTATAAATACATACTTTTCATTATAATTAGTTTTAATGCCTTTTTCTCAGCAGGTATTTAATTTGTCCCAGTAGGAAAAAGCACAGGTGGAGAGCCAACATGCTTATTACCAGGACACATCATTAACTTTATTATTTACAGCTGCACTTTTCCTACTGTGACACATCAACTGTCTTTCAGGAAAAAGGTCAGTTGGGGCCCTGTGGTGCCATGAGCACCTATGAAATGAGTCAGTAGTCTCTGCTGTGGTAATCTTTAACATCTATAATCTTCCACACAACAACCACCATACTCTGGCTGTAAAACACAGTAAATAGAAGACAGTGAATAGCACAGTGAAATGTCAAGTTACCTCTTGTAGATCCACATGAACAACTGGAAGATTTAAGCTGCTACAATAATGTCTGATAAGGAGAAGTAGCACGTGACGACAGTGGAAACTTAACCTGAAAATAAAAACCACACGAGCTGACATCAGCGTAGTGAAGTGCTGAGTTGTCAGTCTGACAGACTGTCAGCTGACACATTTTTCATCAGTTCAGAAATTTTGAAAATACCAAGCGGAGTCCTCTCTTCAGTTTTTCATTCAAAGTCTGACGTTGGATTCAATCATCTTTTCCAGGTAGGATGTTTTCTCTTGACATAATGTCTGCAGCTATAGTATATAATGTATATAATATAGTGGAAAAACATGTCACTAGCAACAAAATAAAATGATTTTTAAATTATTTTCGAGACTAAATTTAGGGGGAGACCGGCGATGGTTGTAATATAGGTCACTTCTCATATGCAAATGTAATATATGTAGCCTACATATATTGAATTTCCATACATGACATATATGTACATACACAAAATAAAAGCACATATGTAAAAATTTTATATGAAACCTATTAAAAATTGGGACAATTTAATATATTGACATATTCAAAGTCTCTCTATATATGTTGATATTATATACAGTAGGGTACAAAAGTCAGACCACTTTCCTAGAATGGGATGATAGTATTATTATTAAGTTACAATTAACAAGGAATTAATTAGAAAAAACATAGATAAACATACAGAAATGTTATATGTATGTTGTATATAAATTGAATATTGTTAACATTTATAGTTGCAATATGTTATACTATATAAAAATTAATATAGGCAAGATATTTTAACATATTAATAATATGCTGTATGTTATAAACTTATATCTTCATATATCCAGAGGATGTATAATACAGGTGACATGTGTGGCAACATTACTGTTGATATAGGGGCATATATGTCATATTTTACATTTCTGTACGGGTTGTAACACTTCCAATTTCTCCAATTAGGAACAAGTTACGAATCACCTGGTTTCACTCTACACCTGCTCAATTTAGTCCTTATTGCACGTGAGGAAGTAGCTCAGTGTGTCAGACACAGACTGTTTTAGAAAGAACAAAATAATTTTGAGGTAGGTTTATTTTTTTTTTACTTAATTAATTTTTGTAATAGTACTTTCTGCTTTGCAGTTAAACTCTTCAAACCTGTGTCGTGTTTATTGTTTATCTGCGTAGATATTTTTCATGCTAGTTGTCAGTGCTAATGTTTTAGCTGTTAGCTAAGTGAAGGTAGTTCATGGCTACAAGAGACTGGGTGAGTTGTAACAACAATACACTCACGCGCGCGCGCGCACACGCACACAAAAATGTTCAATTGCTGAAGCTGGTGAACATTTGTACGTTTCGTTCAGTTTTATTATTATGTTAAAAAATGTTTTATCACCACTATGACTGACATTAGCTAACACACTTGGCTCTCTCTCTCTCACACACACACACACACACACACACACCAATTATGTTAAAAAGTAATTTAAGTGTTTTATTATTATTATTATTATCATTATTATTATTATATTATTATTTAAGTGTTAATATTATTATTTTTTAAAGCTTTCATTATCAAGTTTTTTATGATAATCTTTATATCATAATGTCACATCACCCCAGTGTGTGATATAACTAACCTGGACTATGGAGTGAATTCTGATATTACACTCCTTGTGTTTGAGACCAAACCACACATTTTCTGTTTGTGTTGCAGAGATAACACCGACACCATTTAATAGTAGACACATCTAACTAGTTTGTATTAAATTCTGAACACACTCGCTTAAAAGAGCTCCAAGATACAGACAGAAGTGTCAAAAATGTTGCAAACATCCCAGGTCTCTCTGTCTTTAAACACCTAGGATAAGTAGATATGATGAAAAGTCACTCACCTCTGTCCTCTCCAGACTGTCAACAACCTCCCAAAAGTTCACTGAGTGAGAACATTTACATACAAGCCAGTTTCACAGAGTATTAACCTGGATATTAAATTGTTTTTCACAGATGCATACTAAAATGCAGAACTTGTGGAAGAATGCAGGAGGCCTCGGTACTAATGACAGCTCAGGACTAATGACTGAATTACCATGTGCAGCTAAATAATACACTTTAACAAGGCTTGCTGATATGTGATGAGAGTATGTGAAATGTGTGAGCGCTGGAACATCAGATTGGCATCGCTAAATTGTCCTGGTTCAAGAGAAAAGTAACATTAACATGAAAGCATACCATTAGCTTGTTCCACAGCTTTAATAAATCTTTTACAATTGAACAGTGGCCACCAGAGAGTATTTACACTGTTATACTGTAGATCCTGAAGCAGAATGAGGAATTCATTCTCAACTGTAAAAATCATAACAAGAGGGAAAGGAATATGTTTTGTTTCAAAATATAATGTATATTATGTACTGTCATGGCCTCCTTAATCTCTTGTGGGGCTCAAAAATTTGTTCTTCGGCCCCTATTGACCCCCACTATACATGGCAGTTTAATTATTTCCCCAAGCACCCACATTCCCCACAGCTTAAATGATTAGCTGATTAATCAATCAGTTGATTGACAGAAAATTGACCAGCAACAAGTTTGATAACTGATTAATCCCTTAAGTTGTTTTTTAAGCAAAAAGCAATCTTTTTTTGACAGTAAACTCTACATGTTTGGGTTTTGTCAGAAAAAAATTTACAATTAATAATGAAGAAACAGTACCTCCATGATGGAATAATGACGTATTCTATGTCAATTATTATTCGTATGCAAAGCTTTTTTATTATTATTATTATTGCTTTTTTTGCTTCTTAAATGCACATTGTGTTAAAATGTACAGGCAGCTTGTAAGTTAAACTTTTATTTTGAAGGTGAGGGGTTTTGTTTTGGAGCTCTCGGCGGCCGCTAGTCACGTGCTGATTTGAGTGACGTATCACCGTGCCGACCAATCAGCTCACGGGGACGGATTTGTCTTGTTTATTGCGAGCTTCCGTGTTATTTCTCCAGAGTGTCCGAGGGGTTTTTGTTCTGCTGAGGACTTTACCGGCATGTCAGCGGCTGCACAGGCAAGAAAAATATGTAAAAGATGTTTTATCCATTTCCAGTTTGGCAGTTTGTAAAAGTTTGTAAACCGACATAAATACAATCGACAGACGAGCTACAGCTGTCTTTCATTAGGTAGTTGTTGTCGTGGCTAGCTAGCTAAGTGTCCAGCGGGTAATTTGGAACATATGTTCTCTGGTTTCTTCTTCTGGTTGAGTGTATTTTATGTGAAAAATGTTTTTTTTTCTGTACCCTATGTAGAAATGCAGCGACACACGCACAAGCCGTTTTATTTAATCGCCTCTGTCTTGATCTAATCAGAGGAGCAGCAGCAGAATGTGGCTCCAAACAGGCTTTTTTGATGTTGTTTTAAGAGTCCAACAACCTTTGACCCCTTACGACCGTGTTAACTGGACAACTGCTTTATGTTGAGATTTGTGGTTCATGTATGATAAATATATATATATATATTTTCTTTTATAAAGCTGATTTTTTTTAGTGTGAGATGAAGCTCTGAATCTACCTCTTTGCTATATGGTTGAGGTATTTTTCACAGGATGTTTTCTTGGAAGCACCATGTCAACATTGTTTATAGGCTGACAATGTGGCATAAGGATGTTAGCATTATTATTATACTTTTTTTTTTTCTAATAAACTGTGTATTTACATTGGTTTTTCTCTCCAGCAGATAATGTTGACAGACGGAGTCCTCACTCGGGGAGCCTTTGGAGGGACCGTTGAAGGAAACTTCACCTCTTTGTGCCCTAATGGATCCAAATGGGTTTGGGAGGGGCTTGGGGAGTGTGCCCAGGATGCGAGGGATATGGCCAGCATCTACCTGGGCCTCCTGTCCATCCTCTGCTTCATGGTGTCCTCACTTCCGTAAGTGTTTGAGGAAATGCTTTTTTTTTTTTTTTTTTTTTTTAATTGATAAGCAGTGTGTAATTCTGCTTGTTGTTCCTGTCTGTGTTATTGCAGACAGTACTACAGCTCGTGCAGAACAGGGAATATGGACAGTGCTCTCTCTATTTGGTTCCTGCTACTGTGGTTGGGAGGTGACAGCTGCAATCTGGTGGGATCCTTCTTGGCAGATCAGCTTCCACTTCAGGTGAATTGTAGTGATATTTTTGCCAACACAGTGTAGGGCTGCAACAAATAATATTTTTTAGTTCCAAATCATCTATAAATCATTGTTTTTCATCATTTCAAGAACCATTGAGAAATGCTCATTAATTAAAGCCAGAAATTATGTCTTTAGATAGTTTTTTATTTCATTTAAAGAAACAAAAGTGTGTATCTTCTAATATCATGACAAAAAAACAATATTTTATTGTTATAATATCATATTTTTAGGGCTGTTATCATGTAATTATTGTTTTTGTCTTCATCAATGACTAAGATGATTTAATGTTAACTGACTAATTCATTGCTTGACTTCATCTTTATCCCTGTCATGCAGACATACACGGCTGTTTATTACGTTATAGCTGACTTATTGATGCTGGGCATGTACTTATACTACAAGATGAAGAACAAAATGGCTGAAAGTGAGTGTTTTGGTTTGTTAATTTTTGTTTAACTATTCAGTTTTCCAAATGCCAATATAAGAACCAAGTTCTTGCCTTGTGCCGTGTGAGTTTCACTGCCTTATTTGCATCCTAGCTCCTCATTTACATACACATAGGCCTTTGTTAACTTCTGGAATAGACACGACTAACCCCAAACATGTGTTTAATGCTCAACAGTAAAACTACAACCATAGTCTTTAATGATTCAGCTGCTTATTTCTGAAAAGAGTTTTATCTGAAATATCTGCTTAATGAACAGGCATTACATCAATAATCAATACACTTGATCAAAACTGATGAACAGTGATCCAGACAGAGGAAGAGGTAGCCTGTAATGATGTCATCTCATGTCTCATGTTGTTGTGGCGTTTGTGCCCCCGCCTACCTTTGACACAGTAAGCCTCGTCTGGAGGAATGTGCTGAGTTGTCTTTCCCAGTATTGAGTTTTGATGGTGCTGTGTCTCCAGGCAGAAGGGTCTTACACGTGGTGGGTGTAGCCTGCGTCCTGGGCTTCACCGCAAACCTCGCCCACATCCCCGGGTTAGGCACCCAACAGGAAATTCCCTCTGGGTTCAGAGGTCGCTCCTTGCTCTCAACCTCTGACAGTAGCTCTGTCAAGGTGAGTCCTATCCGTTTCTTTAATTAGTTACTTGAGGGAAGTGAACTAGTTGTGTCCGGCTTTTTTTTTTTTTCCAAGTAATGTTGTGCCTCTCTGTTGCTTCAGGCTTTTACCCCTAAAGAGATAATTGGTTTCTCCATCGGCTCAGTGTCGTCGGTGCTCTACCTCTGCTCCAGACTTCCACAGATGTACACTAATGTGAGTATGATAAAAATATACGTGTAAATTCTTCAGCACTATCAGCTGCAAACTCTAGGTGGTAGACATTGACTGATGCTAATGCTAATAACAATAAATAATAGGGATAATTAGAAGAAGTATTGTCATGATAATATTACCTCTGCATCACTGTATATTACAGAGTTTAAAATTATACTATATTATATCGTATTATTATATTATATTATATTATACTACATCCTATACAAGAAGTTATAAACAATAAAATTCAGATAGTCAGATGTCCATAGGTAATCAATGGGTAACAAATAAAAAATGTGCATATTTACAATGGTTAAAGATAAATCAGATGAGGAGGTGACACGTGAAATAATGATAGTTATAATAAAAGCTGTTAATAAATTACAAGTTGTTTTTTGATGTCTGTTCAAATCTGCACAAAAATGAAAAATGTTCATTAAAGCGAAAGAGGCAAAATTCGATGTACCTGCAAACTGAGCAGGTGAAAACACAAGTGAAAATAATCCCTGAAGAATCCCTGAATAAGCAATAAGCTTTCTCACTTCCCCTCCCAACCTCTCATTTCTCCCCACAGTTCAAGAGGAAGTCGACAGAGGGAGTCTCTTACTTCCTGTTTGCGCTGGTCATCCTGGGAAACACCACATACGGCCTGAGTGTCCTACTGAAGAACCCTGACGAGGGCCAAGGCGAGAAAAGCTACCTGATCCATCACCTGCCCTGGCTCATCGGCAGCCTCGGCACCCTCACTTTAGACCTCATCGTATCCTTTAAACAAATTATTAAAAAAAAGAACAATCATGTCTCCTGCTGCTGCCCACTCTCTGGGCTCTCCTTAATCCCATGTATATGCTGCATCATAGGCCACACTGAGCTGTAGCAGAGGGCAGTTCATCAGGTGAGTTCAGGTCTTGTGACTGTGTTTGTGTGCGTGGAAACATGATGCACAGTATCAAAGGTCCAGACACTCGCAGGGAATCTGGCTTGTTGTCAGCAAAGAAGCAAGACTGCACACGCTGCACTAGTGGCCCCTGGAGGCCGTGCGTCTATTTGTACCCTTCAGAAGAGGTGGACTCAAGTGTCATGTTGCTTCCCTCTTTGTTTTGAATGAAGATATAGACGCTGCAGAGGAATGTGACTTACTTTTTCTATGGGCTAATCCTCAAAAGTACCAGGAAAAACCTTTAACTGAATATATGGCATGATCGGTTTGGTCCTCTAGCTGGTTAAATTAAGGGGGCACTGGGGTAAAAATGTGCTTTTGGGTCCCTATTGACCTTTCACCTATTGCTACATAGCTAAAATTAGCATTAGCAGCTATTTTCTTACCAGTCTAGAAGAAACTCTGTGAGTTCAGTATCAAACTTCATTCCTTTACTCACCAACATCTGTCTCCAGAGGTGGAAACAAACACCAATGTTAACTCTTCTCTCTGTCACATCTTTTCCTCTGCTGATGTTAGCATGCTAACCGGTTACCCCCGGCCCGATAACGACTCACTGTGGCCTCCAATCTGTCCTGAAGACGTAGACGTATAATACTCGTTTCAGAACTCTGTGATCAAATGAGTCTTTCAGACGTGAGAAAAGAAAGTATGTTGTGTTGTTCATAGTTGTGTGTTTTTCTAGCTGAACTCTGGTTTTGCATTAAACTGACTCTTTCCCAGGATTTCTCTTGATTTCCTTGACGCTGTGGCTCAGATCTCCATCCAGTTCGTAATTTACCGCAAAGCTCCGGTGGAGGTGGGCAGCGGCTACGATGAGACATCGCCTCTGATTGCGAGCTAAACCAACACACTAAGGCTGTACTGGTCATACTGGTGGGACATGAACAGACACTCACTTCCTGTGAACCCACAAAAATCACATTTCCAAAACAAAATCAACATGAAAAAAACTGTACATTTTAGTTTAATTTTATAGTTTTATTTATTATGCTCTTTTTTTTTATGTTTACAATGTGTTTTTATCCATACAGCACAGTGACAGATGTTGTTCTTCACCTGGGTTCATCTGCAGTGATGTGACTCTCTCTGCTCTTATTATTAGTTTTTAAAGGGACAATTGAAGGTTTCCGGTGTCGGCCCTGAACTCCTGAATTTAGGTCACAGCATCAGTTTGAACTGATAGATGTCAGAAACCTGCTGCTCAGAGGTTTCTCTAAAATTATCTTGGTATTTTTAAGTTGACAAACATTTTGACAGTTGAAATGAAATTAATGAAATGAATGAATTAATTTTACAGTGGTTCATCTTTTACTTTGTGTCTCATTGGAAAAAAAAAAGTTTTCTAACTTTGTTTAAAAAAAAAAAAAAAAAGTGTAAATTGTACTTAGTCGATTTTTAATTGATGTTTATACCAAGTGCCATAATCAAAATGTTTTTGAGCGTTTATGTTTTTTGTGAATTTTAGATGCCTTTTTAATTGTAATCATATGGTTTTATTTTATTTTGTTCAAATACAAACCGGTTTTGTTTGCACTGGTGATAAATGTTGCATGACTTGACACAGATACTTTGTTTAATTTACACATTTTCATTTTCGCCATTTTTGCACATTTTAAGGCAAAAGTTGGTTTTTTACTTGAAATGTTAAATGTGGGTCAGTGTACTGTAAACATTAAACAAAATGAATAACACCTTTTTATCTGCGCCTGTCACTCCGGGTGAAGTCTTGATTGAGTCGTTCAGGATTGGCCCAGTTTCCTTCATAACGCTGTTCCAGTTTGTCTTTCACTCTTTGCTCTGATTTATGAATTTTACAAAACCCGCTCTCCCTCCCCTGACGCTTAACTCTCTGCACCTCCCATTTTCCTGCAGCACAGCAGAGGTCAAGCCCTGCCCTTGGCCTTGATGTTGACCTTTGACCCTTTGCCCCCCCTCACTGACCTCGACCCCCAGCCACTGTGTTTGACCTGCTCCTGGGAGGCCCTGACAGCCATGTTGTTTTTCTTCATTAGCAGATTCACACTGGCCTCTCACTTGCTCTCTCAGGACACCCACGCACACACACACATTTTCTCTCCCTATTAAACATAATGCAACCACATACACTCAAATTAGTAAGGGCCCACCCACCGAGGAAGCGAGGTCAGTGCTGAAAATATCAAGGGTGCAGTAAGTGTGTGTGTGTGTGTGAGTGTGTGTGTGTGTGCGTGCACAGGGAGGTGGAGGGTGTTGGAGTGTGTGGTTGTGAAACAGTGGCAGGGAGATTGTTAAGCGGGTTGGGGAGTCAGCAGGAAGAGCCTGTGATAGGGAGCATGCATCCATCACCAGGGATGAACAAGAGCCTGTTTATAAACACTCCATACTGGGAATTTCTTAATGAGATGATTTCAGTTTCTACCAGCGGGGGAGGGAAGGGGAGGGGAGGGGGTCCTTTGTGACTCAAACGTTGCCAGTTCAAATCCCTAGTGCAACCAAAGGGCCCCATACTGGGAATTTTAATGGTAGATATGTGTTATTTGCAATTTCCCATCATTGACGCACATGGTGACACACATAACCTCCAAGCGGGGTTGTTCCCCCAGCTGTTTTTCATGGTCACCAGCTCATTCAAAAAAAAATAATAAAATGTGTATTGATTATTTCTCCTCCTCACTGACAGGTTCCTCTGACAGATCTTTGATCCGGGGTCCCGGGCGTCCAGCTAAAACACACATGTTGAGCAACTGTCTCATTTGAAAGGTTCTGTTTACTTTGTGTGTGTGTGTGTGTGTGTGTGTGAGAGAGAGAGAGAGAGAGAGAGAGAATGGAGGCTGGGCTGCGGTCAACATTACAAAAAGTGAGAGTTGGATGAAGCGAGAGGACGTCGGGACGCTCGAACACAGCGAGAAGACTCATCAGCGGTGAGTTCACAGCTTCTGTCTCTAACTAACATACGATGCGTTTAGTGGCCTGAGCATCAGCAGGTTCAGGTCCTGCAGCCGGACACAGGAAGTTTTGAACTGGGAGAAATCAATCCAACATAGAGGCTTGTTTTTTTTTGTTTTGTTTTTTTTTTTATTAAAAAAGCATGTTTAACATTACAACTTGTAAATGTTCTGCTGCAGTATTGCCATTCTTTAGATAAACACCTAAAGACGTTAGATGATCGAGGGAAAGGTTTAAAAAGGTTTTTAAAAAAAGCTGCTTTATACATAATAAAAAATGAAAATAAGTAAAAACCTGTGATCCAATATGGATAGTGAGAGTGAAGACACTTGGCGACATGGTTAGCCAGGTGAGAAGAATCCTGTAAAAACATCAGCAGGGGATCGGCCGCTTACAGCCTCTGACTTTCTGTCCAATTCACACCAGTTGATTAATGTTACAGGTGCTATTATGAATGCCACTTATTACAAGCTGCAGTCCAGTAGGGATACTGTGTTTTTATTTATCAGTGTATTTGGTTAAATCCATCATTTAAAACCTCTATAATCAACAAAAAAAAAGTCCAATCCGACAATAGCCTCCACAGAACAGAGGGAATTGTCTCCAACAAATGCTTTAAGTGGACATGACTAACGTTGGACAGTTTACATTCCTTCTTGTGATAGTCAAACACGCCCCCCCCCCCCCCCCCACCCCCCCCCCCCCCCCCACCCCACCCCCCACCAAGCTCACATATGCTCAGACATAAGTTATGGACTTTACTCACAAAATCCTGAGGCCACTTTAATGTGAGCGTCAGTTTCCTGTGAGGATCAGTAAACAGTCCGGGGCCGTTATCGAGCTGCAGCTACCGAGCCAGCGGCCCCCGTGATAAAGAGAGCAGGCGACGTCCTGAAGGGATTTATGACGTGCTGGATTTATCTCCAGGCTTGTGCTGTGAGTGATTCGGGACTAATGAGTTTCAGGGTTCGAACATGTCATTAGTTTGTTTTCTTTGGTCTGAACCACAGAGGAGACGTTGACTTCGTTTTTTTTTTTTTTGGTTTGTTTAAGTTTGTGTAAAGTGGAGATGCCTCTGTTTTTCCTAGTGTTCACCTCATCACACTGCGAGTAGGTGCAAAGAAATAAAAATAATTAAGGGAACGTTCCAGAGTCCATTTGAAGTAACCCTGCTTAAAAGTCTTTTCCCTCCTTCCTCTCCTCCTCCTTTTGTGATGCTCATCTCCCCTGGGGCGAGCCCTCATAACCGGGCCCCCCCTCCCCCCTCCCATGTGTCCAGCAGTGTGACACCTCCAGAAGATCCATGGCGACATTTGCACGCTCTCAGATATCGTCCCCATCGTTTAGCGTCACTCTGCCTGCTCTCTGCTCTCCTTCCATTCCTCAGAGGCCGGAGGCGGTCGGAGAGGAGCGGCTGACGGCTCGTTTTGTCACATATGTGAGGACGGGGTCACGAGACACGCTGCTCTTTAACTGAGGAATAACAGTAGACAACAGTGGGTGCACGCCATCCCCAAAACCATCACTGATCTATCATGGCGGCGTTTGTTTGTGATGCATTTTTACGCAGATGACGCTGCGCTGTTTAGTCAACATAAGAGATTCTTAAAGCTGTTCTACAATATTCATCAAATTTCTAAACTGATTTTGACTTGAACTCAGTTCATTTAGGAACTTTAGTGAGTGTATATAAAATCAGTGGCAGTTCAGTCAGTCCACCATTTTGATCTAGAGTGAAATATCTCAACAACTATCAGACGGATCGGCACAAGTCCAGTGACTTTTGTGACTTTAGTGCCACCAGAAATTTGACATTTGTGGGTTTTAAATAAATTGTTTCAACTACAACAACACATGTTCATGTTCCCCACAGGATGAACTGTGATCATTCTTCTTGTAGTGCCATCATCAGACCAAATACTTCTTGTCTGGTTACAGGGATGTGCTAACATTTAGCTCAAAGCACCACAGTGCAGCTAGCATGGGTGCAGGTTCTTAGTCTTGTTGTTTCATCACGTTTCAACAAGAACAAATTTTTCTTTTCCATTCTAGTCAATTCAATAATTTTCTAGACAGTTTGTGTAAGAGTAAGTCGGCTTTAAATTCTGACCAGGATACACCCTCCATCCTTAGACCATCAAAAGGTAAAACTCTACAACAACAACAACAACAACAACAACAACAACAACAACAACAACAACAACAAAAAGCCTTAAAATAATACTTTTTTTCACCATGTAAAAATTCATCTGTGTTTATGACACTTGGATTTCATGCTCCTTAATAATTAATTCAGTTTTCAATTTGTAGTTTGAAGTTTTCATATGTAATATTTTTTATTGAGTTTTGTTTTCTTTAGTTTGATTTTACCCACTCTGTATTTAAAGTTAAGAAATCTCTTAAAATTTGAGTATTTGAACATGTGGCGTTCTCAACCTTACAAATTTCAGTTGTTTCTATATTAGAACAAAAGTTACAGCAGGTTTTTGACGTGTAGGACACATTTATTTGTCTATTTGTTTTCTTTAAGTTTGTACTTTTCCCTGAACTACAGCTCATCTTGAGGCAGTGTCGTCCTCGTGAACTGTGGCCACACTTGTACCAATTTACCCTTTGGACGCAATCTTCAAAAGAAAGACACCGTGTAGCGTTTGTCATCGTGATCGATCGTGTGATCGCTCCACTGAAGGCTACGGCTTCGGTGACCATGACTGGCTCTTCCCTCGCCCCTCCGCCACCCGCCGCTCAGCCCTGGTTCCCATAATGAGCCAGTGAAAGCGATGATATGTGGGTGGGAGGGCGCAGTTAATCCTCAGTGAGCATGCTGCGTGTCAAACAGCTCAGCTCGGAGATGTACAGGCCAGCGCTGAGGTCACTCCTCTGTCTCCTCCGGGCGGTTCAGGGCCTCCACTCCTTTCGCTCTTTGCCCGGCCTGGTTAACTGTCTGTGGGGGAGGCCGAGGTCCCCGGGCCCCTTAAATCTAACCACTGTCCAATATTAACTGCAGCACAAACAGAACAGCGGTAAACAAAAGACAGAGTAAACACACTCCCGAAGCTTCGAGGACAAACATGGATGTGCACACACACACACACACACACACACACACACACACACACAAACACACACACACACACACACATGCACACGCACGCACACACACACACACACACACACATTAAGTGCAGCATTCAGTCCATGAAATGCTCGTGAAAAAAACAAACTTTTTTTTAACATTTCATTTAATGAGATTTTTTTGGTGCAACATCATCAGATTAAATTGAGAAAATGTTTCATCGCCCAGACCAGCTGTTGCACTCTGGGATACATCCATCCAGTCCAAATCTCAACACACGCACGCACGCACGCACGCACACACACACACACACACACACACACACACACACACACCATGAGTGTGGAGTGTGTCCCTCACTCTGCCCATGA